CCCAACAACTTCCTGCCATCGAGCTAATGCCTGCCGAATCATAGTGGCATCACTGTGGGCTTCTGAGAACATAGAGTAATTAAAATGAAAAGAAGAAATAATGAAGTAAAAGATTGAATAGATTTCAAAGGTCAACTTGATAAGACAAAGTAAAATATTCTAATGAAATGTGCAAAGACCTGAGATTAGAAAATCAAGAGAGGAGTACACATGACATTTCCCAGATTGAAAGAACTGGAGAAAAAACTGCAAGCCTCACGTGGCAATACTGAACACTTCTGTGGGCAAAATATTGGAATGACATAGGAAGTTTCAAAAGAAGATGGAAGGAGTGTGCTAAATTAAGAGTGTGAAATTCAACCATTTTAGGAGCATATGATCAAGAACCGATAATACTAAAGGAGGAAATCTGAGTTGCACTGATGGAATTGGTAAAATAATGGCTTTCAACAAATGATTATAAAGCTGGGCAGCACTCATCTATAAAGAAATGTAGGAGACAACTACCTGGCCCACTGACTGGAAGATATATATGTATTTGTCCCCATTCCAGAGAAAGGTGACTCAGAGGAATGTGAAAACTTTTGAGGTGTATCATTAATATCAGATGCAAATAAAATTTTGCGACACAATTCCTAGTGGTTGTGGCAGAACATTGATACAGAATGCCAGAAATTCAAGCTGGATTCAGAATAGGATGTGAACTGAGGGCCATCGTTGCTGAGCTCCGATGGATCATGTCTGAAAGGAGAGGATACCAGAGGAATATTTATGTAGATTTAATTGACTATGCCAAGGTGTGTAATTGTGTGGATCATACAAATTATGGATAATGTTGTGAAGAAAGGGAATTTCAAAACCATTAATTGTGCTCTTGTGGGAACTCTTATGTATACCAACAAGCATTAGCTCTAATACAACAAGGGTTAAAATCAGGAAAGGTGTGTGTCAAAATTGTACCCTTTCATCGTATTTAATGCAGTTTGTATGCTAAGCAAATAATCCAAGAAACTAATTTCTAGGAAGAAGAATTGAGCATCAAGACTGGACAAAGCACAACTTGTAATAAAAAGAAGACACAACCTTGCTTTCTGACAGTGAATAGGACTAGAAGTACTTACTAATGAAGATCAAGGACTAAAGCCTTTATTATGCATTACACCTTGATGCCAAGAAAACAAAAATCCCCACAACTGGACATATAAAAACACGGTAAATGAAGAACATATTAAAACTGTCAAGGATTTCATTTTATTTGGCTCCACAACCAGTGCCCAAGGAAACAATAGTCTTGAAACCAAATGTCATGCTAAATTAGGTAAATGAGCTGCAAAAGATCTTGTTAAAGTGTTAAGAACCAAAGATGTCTCTTTGAGGGCTAAGGTTCACCTGATTCAATGCATGGTATTTTACTTATTTATTTTTTTCTTCTCCATGGTATTTTAATATGCATGTGAAAGCTAGACAATAAAGAAGACTACCTTTAAATTTTGGTGTTAGTGAAGAATACTGCATATCCTATGTACTGCCAGAAGAATGAACAAGTCTCTTTTTTGAAGAGATACAGCCAAGAATGTCCCTTACAAGTGACCATGGCATGATCTTATCTCACGTACTTTGGATGTGTTTTCATGATGAGGAACCAGTCCCTGAGGAAGGACATCGTTTTGTTGTACGGTGCCCTCAAGTCTGCTCTGACTCCTAGCAGCCCTCTGCACCACAGAACAAAATCCTGCTTGGTCCAAAAATCGTTTCCCTTACTTGATCCCATTGTTGTATCAGTCCATCTTGTTGAGGGTCTTCCTCTTTTTTGCTGCCCCTCCACTCTACCAATCATGATGTCCTTCTCCAGGGACTGGTCTCTCTTGACAACATGTCTAAAGTATGTAGGGTGAAGACTTGCCATGCTTGCCTCTGAGGAGCATTCTGGCTGTACTTCTTCCAAGACAGATTGGTTTGTCCTTTTAGCGTCCATGGTATCTTCA